TCTCTCCCTATGCAAAAATGCTATGCATGTAAAAGGCCCAAAGATCTGGAATTCATTGCCAGAACACACTACAGGACCCCTGTCTGCAAATCAGTTTAAGGCCCTACTTAGAAATCACCTCATCACCCAAAATTAACGAGACAAGCCATACTTAATACCTACCAGTTACTCAAAAGCTACTCAAAAAAACTTTTAAATAATTTAAGACTGCTCAACTTAAAATTGTTTCAGTTTCATTACTGCATATTGTGCTGAGGATTGCGCAACCATTTACTCATTATGTACTTCAAAATTAGGATGTTTAAATTTCATTGTTTTAAATAGTACTAAATTGTAATACAGTGCACCTCTGGTTTTTGTACGGTCCGCTTATTGTACAGTTCGGTTTTAGAACACCTTTTTTGGGCGAAATTTTGTTCCGGTTTTCATACGTCAATCCGGAAATCATACGTATCATATGTGTCTGCCTGCCTGGGAATGCCATCAGTCTGGCTTTGCTACTGGTTGAGTTAGCATTCATCCGAAACATTTCACAATTTTAGTGCTTGTTATTGATCGTGACTGAAAAATGCCACCATGGGCCCAAAGAAAGTTCCTAGTGCCAGCCCAATGGTAAAGGTGAGAAACATGATAGAATTCAAGAAAGAGATCATAGAAAAATACAAAAGTGGCGTACATTTAGCTGAGCTTGCCAGGACGTATGTATCCAAAAGAAGGATTTTGAAGGGTTTGAGGCTGAGCCTGTCAACCCTACGCCTGTTGTGGAATGTACTGTGTCTTTGGGGAAGTCCATGGAGTTGGATGTGAGTGGCCAGGATGTGGAAGAGTTGGTGGAGGACCACAGGGAAGAGTTAAACACTGAAGAGCTGCAGTACCACAGCTGAGGAAATTCCTTCAGAGAAGGAGGAAGAGAGATGGGAGAAGGTGCCCTCTTCAATGATTAAGAACATTTGTGCAAAGTGGAATGAGTTACAAACTTTTGTTGAAAAATATCACCCTGACAAAGCTGATACAAGCCGTATCTGCAACATGTTCAGTGACAATACCTTGTCCTATTTTAGGCAAATCTTAACCCTTTCAGGGTCGCCAGGCCCTCTCAGAGACTTGTTCTCAGGGTCGCCCAAATTTCAAAAAAAAAAAAAAAATATTTTTTCTTATGAAAAGATAGAGAATCTTTTCCCGATCATAATGACACCAAAAGCATGAAATTTGATGGAAAACTTACGGAATTATGCTCTGGCAAAGTTAGCGGCCTCGAAGATGTTTACGCATCAGCGATTTTGCCCACTTTGAGCTCTATTTTCGGCCAATTCCAGTGTACTAGTCGACAAAAATCATTACTATTTCGCTAGAACTCCACTTTTTCTATCGAATGAGTACAAGAAACCACCAATTTACCAATATCAACTATCCAATAAAGTGGTCAGAATTTAGCAATTTTGCCAATTTCACAAAGTTCAAAAGATGCCAATTTCAGAATAGGGTCCAGAATAAACAAGAAAGACATTCCTGGCACTAAAATAAAAAGTTCTCTGTTCGTTAGTCACATCCCCAGGCTCCTCTTATATTTCTTTGGCTTTCCACTTTGAATTTTGATTCTTACAAAAAATAGAAGATTTACTGTTATGCAGACTACTGCATTAGTGTAGAAATGGTATAAATAATATCAGCGCACTTGTGAAAGAATATTAGACTCACTAGTTGACGTGTATTGACGCTTGGCATGATTTGTTTACTTTTGAACTTTGGTAAAAATCGAACATTTCTGCTACTTTAAGCTCAATTTCAAGGTGCTTTTCATTGTAAAACCAGTCAAAATCATCTCAGTTTCTATAATATGTCTTCCATTTTATGAAATGAGACCAGGAAAACTAGAATACAACCATAAATACCATACGAAAATGCAGTGCAAAGTCGCTGTTTTAATCCAAAAACACGGTCAGAGTTTTTTTTCTCATCATGCACTGTGTGCTGCAGGATTTTTTTTTATACTGCGCACGCTGACCACATAGACCCATTCTTTCATATGTAGGCCTACCAGCTTTCTCTCACTAGATTTGAGGGCGCTAGAATTTAGGCATACTAGTATGTCAAAAACCCTGGGGCATAAGCTGTACTAGTATGGCCGAAACCCTGAAAGGGTTAAAGAGCTCTCTGGACAGATTTTTAGTGTGATAGGGATCCAGTGCCAGTAAAAAACAAAGAAGGGAAATAACTCCAGAGAGGGCTTTGATACCTGAAGTCCTTATGGAGGGGGATTCCCCTTCCAAACAATAACCCAACTCTGTCTCCCCTTCTCAGCTTCTTCATTACACCATTGAGTCTTCAATAAGGGTATGTAATGTTCATTTATCATTAAAATTAGTCATTTACATTTATTTCTCATTGTTTTCTGTATGTAAAACTATGGTTATTCTTTAAAAAAATGTATATTTTGTTAATATTTTTGGGTGTCTGGAATGGATTAATTGTATTTACATTATTTCTTACGAGAAATACTGTCGACTCGCGGTTATTGACCGTACTCCGTTCCAGAAGGTTGGCCTAAATCTGAAATGGCCTGAAACTGAATATTTCCCATAAGAAATAATGTAAATCCAATTAATCCATTCCAGACACCCAAAAATATTAAAAAATAATATTTTTTAAGGATACCTATAGTTTTACATACAGAAAAAATGAGAGAGAAATATAAAGTAGTAATTTTAATAATAAATGAACATTACATACCTTTATTGAAGATTATGCCTATTGTTGGCATATTCTTATGAGACCCACATGCAACTGCTTTGCCTTTTTCCAAATTATCACCTCCATAACACTATCTCTTGCTAACTGTTTTTCTTTGATCCACACCAACAACAACTTCTCAACATCTTCAGTTGTTTGCCATCACTACCACCCTCTACCACCATCACAACCACTACCATCATCACAACCACTACCACCATCACAACCACTACCACCATCACAACCCACTACCACCATCACAACCACTACCACCATCACAACCACTACCACCATCACAACCACTACCACCATCACTACCACTGCCATCACTACCACTACCACCATCACTACCACTACCACCATCACTACCACTACCACCATCACTACCACTACCACCATCACTACCACTACCACCATCACTACCACCCTCTATCACCATCACAACTACCCTCTACCTTTGTAGAGGGTGGTAGTGATATTTCTCCACAAAACTTTGCAATTCATTCTACGAGTTATTTCTTGAATTCTATCATGTTTCTCACCTTTTTACCGAAGGGCTGGCACTGAACTTTCTTTGGCCCTATGGTGGCTCATTTCACAGTCAATAAACAAGCGCAAAAGCAACGAGGAAAGCACAAAAAACAGTGGCTGAAGGCGTACAGTACTCCTTACTGGATGAGAGAGACTGACTGTGATATGCATGAGGAAGCACGTCTGGCGGCTGGGTGGACGCGTCTCATACCAACGATTTCCGAGCATATGTCCTAAATCCAGGGGGAAATTTCGCCGAAAAAAGTGCTCGATTTCCGAATTGGCCGATTTCTGCACCAGCCTATATCTGGGGGTCCACTGTATTAATTCGGTTTTCGTACTTTTCAGTTTTAGAACAAACCTTCTGGAACAGATTTAATATGAAAACCAGAGTTCCACTGTACATCATATTGTAAATTGTTTTAAATTGTTCTGTTGTAATACGGTGGACCCCCAGTTATTGTAATTAATCTGTTCCAGAGAGTATGACTAAAGCCGAATTTGACTGTTTCCGAATTCATTTTCCCCATAAGAAATAATGCAAATCTAATTAATCCGTTCTATACACCCATCAGTATTAAAAAAACAATTTTTTACATGAAATATACATTTATCTACACAGAAAACAATGAGACATGAAGAATAAAACAATAATATGAAACTTACCTTTATTGAAGACTCTTCTTAGTGTATTGAAGACGGGCAGAGGGGAGAGGATGGAGAAATTATTGTTTGGAAGGGGAATCCCCTTCCATAAAGACCTCAGGTGCCAAGTCCTTTTCCGGGGTTACTTCCCTTCTTTGCTTTTTAATGCCACTAGGACCAGCTTGAGAGTCACTGGATCCCTGTTGCTCATAAAAGTGTTCCAAGGAGGTCTGTTCCTGGCATATGTTAGGAATTGTGGCAGCGGCAGGGGAGTGTGTCTGGAGTCGGGACAAGATAGTCCTTTGATATGACACTAATATCAACTCTACAGCTTATTTATCTAGCACAATTCATCTAATATGACGTAATAAACAACATTAATAACATAGCAGCATGATATATAGTCTAGAATGAATAAAATATGTCATTATGTATGTGACGAGTGGTGTTGTGTTTGTTGTTGGATGTATAAGGGCCACTGAAAGATAAGCCTTACGTAGTGGTGGTGATGACGCAGCAGATACGGCAGTGTTGTCAGTCGCCCTATATAACTCCAGCAACCTTGGAGGAGTCAGTTTTGTGCTGTCCTTTTTCTCTCGATTAATTGGTTAACTTGCTTGCTGCACTGTTAATGCTACACTTTATCGCTGGCTGGCGCTAAAGCCTTTATCGACTCCTGCTGCTTTAGTATCGTACATATCGCAGAATCACCGAAGAAGGCACAGTCTCCCCTCTCTCTCAGCCTTTACCAAAGGGCTGGCAGGCACTAGGAACTTTCTTTGAGCCCATGGTGGCTTATTTAGCAGTTGCGTGCACCAGAAAGAATGGAATACAGTGGACCCTTGAGTTTAGAACCGCCCCAACACAACCAGTTATGTAAGTGTATTTTTGTAAGTGCTTGTGTAAGTGTATTTTGGGGGGTCTGAAACAGATTAATCTAATTTATATTATTCCTGATGAGAAGAAATTTGTTCGGTAACAGCACTTGAACAGCCGTCTGGAATGAAAGTTCGAAACTTGAGGGTCCACTGTATTACGAATTGTATCATATGAACTCATGGGGTGACGGTGACTCGCTGATAAACAACGGCAGAATGACTGTGAATGGTATGGAATGGTGTGTGGGGCCACTCGTATGCATTTGGAACAAATGACTATTACCGTGCTAAATGACAATCACTGAAAAAACATTACGATTACCAAATGTTAGGAAATCCGATGACTACAATATCCGGGGGTCCACTGTACTGTAATTTTTATAAACTAATTCAATAGTGTAATTATTCTCTACTGAACTTCTCTACCAGACTTATTAAAGCCATATAGCATTACCTAATAATACTCATTTCTCTTGTACTCACTATAACTCCTCTAATGACTATATTAATCTTAAATTCATTTTAAGTTTGTCCAAAATGCTCTGCATTAAGGGGCTTTTGGTATGTACACCCAACTATTATATCTTTTGTACAACCATGTATTATGTCAAAATAAATATTATTATTATTATTGTTATTAAGTGTATATTTTTGGGTTATCCTAGGTAATCTACACATATGCTGCTATGTATGATAATTTATGTAGCATTATTTATGTATAAGTACTTGTATCTGAATAAACTTACTGTTCCTATGATTTTCCCTACACTAAGATTTACTCTTTTGAGAGAGATCTCATCATTCATTTGGGGAGTAGCTCTGTATGTCTCCAGTGAGATTTCTGGATGTGTCCACCTGCCGCTCTGCCGCGTTCGCGAGTCAGTCTGGCTGTGTCTCTGGGCGAGTGAAAAAGCCTCTGCTCATTCATCCAAACATTTCGCTATAATCCATTGTTTTTTGTGGTTATTGATTGAGTGCAACTGCAAAATAAGCAACCATGGGCCCAAAGAAAGTTTGTAGTAAAGTTCCCTTGGTAAAGAAAGTGAGAAACATGATAGAATTTAAGAAAGAAACTATTGAAAAGTATGAGAGTGGTGTATGGATGATTGAGCTTGTCAAGATGTATGGGAAATCCAATTCAACAATCACTTCCATCCTGGCAAAGAAAGTAGAAATCAAGGAAGCTAATGTTGCAAAAGTGGTAACTGTGCTAACTAAACAAAGGTCACCAGTAATCGAAGATGTGGAGAAGTTTTTATTGGTGTGGATCACCACAGGGAAGAGCTAACCACTTCCAAACAATAATCAGTCCTCCCTCTCTCCTCCTCCCTGTCTTCCATAAGCCAACAAAAGTCTTCAATAAAAGTATGTAATAGTGATTTAAATGTTCATTTATTTATTTTATTTAGTTCTCATTGTTTTGTGTATATTTTTGGGTGTCTAGAACAGATTAATTGTAAATGTATTTACATTAATTCTTATGGGAAATATTATTTTGGTTTTTGGGCATTTCGGTTTTAGGCTGACCTTCTGGAATGGATTATGGCCGATAACCCAGGGTTCACTGTATCTTTCCTCTGATTACTATATGATTAGATGTGATGGGGATACAGTTATGAATAAAGTTGACTTATCACGTTGCTCTACAGAATTCTCTCCAACCAGGTAGTTAAGTGGGGTGCACACTAATGTAATTCCTTAGAAATATAAAAATTATTTAATTTCACTTAATTTTTTTTGCAAAATAAATTGTACTGAATGAATAATTTAATAATTCTTACATGATAATAGTTTTCCTAGCACATTGCACATTTCCCATTAGGGCTAGCTGACCCAAGGCAGACCAGTCATTCTCCTAATCAAAGTCAGTATTTACTGTTGTTAAGAAGCAAAACGCAGTGAAAAGCAGGGGCGCAGTGAGCATAATAAGGGAAAACTGTATAAACATCCATGACCCCAAACTATTCAGCATCTTACCAGTAGATGAGTGAATATGATAATGGTATACAAAACCTACAAGTTGATTATTAAGATAGGTGTGCAACAGTTAGCTAACTTCATTCCAAAATATTTTGTGTACACAATAGGCTTCTTCAGTCAAGTACAGAGGAGGCAGTAGAAATGTAAAGATGATGTAATCAGTCCATCACCCTTGAAGACTTAGTTTTGAGGTGCTCAGTCCCTCGGCCTGGAGAAGTCTTGCTCCATGAAGCAAAACTCTTCTCTAGGCTGAGGCTCCAGGCTTGCTCCATGGAACAAAACTGTTCTCCATGCTAAGGGACTACTATCTCAAAATTAAATCTTCAAGGATGATAGACTGATTATATCATCTTTACATCTCTATTGCTTCTGCTGCCTCCTCTGTACTTGACTGAAGAAGCCTATTGTGTAGGCAAAACAGTTTGGAATAAAGTTACCTAACAGTTGCACAAGTGTCTTCCTTATCAACTTACCAGAAGATATCAGAAGCACTTCTGGAACAGGTGGAGAAGTCTTCAAGAGGAAAGTGGACAAGTATCTTCACTAGGTGCCAGATCAACCAGACTGTGATGGATATGTGGGGCAGCAGGCCACCAGCACCAACAACCTGGTTGACCAAACAAGCAGCAGACAAGCCTGGCCCATGGCCGGGTTCTGGGAGTAGAAGAACTCTCGGAATTCACCAAAGAGATCAGAGAGAGAGTTGGATTTATGACTTTGACAAAAATTATTTCACTGTGTATTGTAGAATATACTTGGTATTCCCTGTTTTTGGCTTGCTCTTCAAAAGTTTTATCACCTATATTTATTATTGCACATATCGGTGTTGTGATATACATAGTAGGACCCCCATTTCCATGGAGGATATATTCCAAGGATCTGCCATGGATACCTAAACCATGGATAGTAGCAGACCCTATACATGTATATAAGTCCTATACATACCTATTATAAAGTTTAATTGATAAATTATGCACAATAAGTGGAGAATTATCACTTTTTCACTGATGGGAAGCACTTCATGGCTTCTCTTAGGCTTTGAAGACCTGCTGGCTTTTCTACTTTTGCTCTTTGAGGCCATTATTATGCAAAATTAAGAGGTATTTTTGGGCCATAGTAAACCGTGAATAACTGAAACCATGGATACCAAATCAATGAATACTCAATGATTAATTTTTAATAGATAGCAATCTAACCAAGGTAATCTTAATCTAACCTAACTTAAAGTAAATAAAGAAATTTGCTTAAAACGATATGTAAGAAACCGACTTAAGCTTTAGAAGGATGAGTAGATCAAAAAAAGGAAAGCACATTCACCACTCATTTCCTGGCTGTCTTTGTGAACATACGCATATCAAAATTCAAATAAAAACCATCAAAATCAGGCATCCTTCCCCATTTTTCAGAATTCTGACGCTCTACTTTCCCCTCTTCAGAACTCAGGTCTGACTTTTCTCGGTTATCCTAGATAATTTACACATGTTAAACTGAGTAAGTAAAGTATAATAAACACTTGTCAGTGCTCAGTTATAATCCACATGGAGACAGAAATTCAGAAGATTAATTGATCTGTATACAGTGGAACCTCAAAAATCGAAATTAATCCGTTCCAGGAGCTAGTTCTAAATTCGAAAAGTCTGAAATTTGAAGCTATATTTCCCATAAGAAATAATGGAAATACAATTAATCCGTTCCAGAAACCCAAAAATATTCACATAAAAAATACATTTTATAGAGATTACAGTTTTACATACAACAAATACTATAGTTTTTAATTATGTATAGTAATACAGTGGACCCCCGCTTAACGATCACCTCCCAATGCGACCAATTATGTAAGTGTATTTATGTAAGTGCGTTTGTACGTGTATGTTTGGGGGGTCTGAAATGGACTAATCTACTTCACAATATTCCTTATGGGAACAAATTCGGTCAGTACTGGCACCTGAACATACTTCTGGAATGAAAAAATATCGTTAACTGGGGGTCCACTGTACATATAAAATAACATTTTTACTTACCTTTATTGAAGATTGGTGATGGCATCTGGAAGATAGGGAGGAGGAGAGAGGGAGTTGGGGTTAGTGTTTGGAAGGAGAATCCCCCTCCATGAGGACTTCAAGTAAAGCCCTCTCTGGGGTTACTTCCCTTCTCTGTCTTTTAATGCCACTACGACCAGCTTGAGAGTCACTTGACCCCTGTCTCACAAAATAACTGTCCACAGTCCTCTGTTTCTGGCGCCTCTTTAACATTTCCCTAAAATGGGACATGGTTCTGTCACTGAACTTGTTGCAAAGATGGCTTGTTTCAGCTTGCTCAGGGTGGTACTTCTGCACAAACATTTGGACATCATTCCACTTGGCACAAATCTCCTTAATCTTTGAAGAAGGCACCTCATCCACTCCCTCTTCCTCCTCTGAAGCAAGTTCCTCAGCTGTGGTCTGATACTGCTCCAGATGAAGCTCTTGCAGCTCTTCAGTGGTTAGCTCTTCCCTGTGGTCCTCCACCAACTCTTCCACATCCTCACCACTCACCTCCAAACCCAGGGTGTTCCCCAATGCCACAATAGAGTCCACAACAGGCAGAGGGTCAGCTGGGTCAGGGTCAGCCTCAAGCCCTTCAAAATCCCTCTTTTGGACACAATCTGGCCACAATTGTCTCCAAGCAGAGTTCAAAGTCCTGGAAGTCACTCCCTCCCAAGCCTTACCTATAAGGCTTATGGAGTTGTAGATGTTGAAGTGATTCCTCCAGAACTCTCTTAGGGTCAACTTAGTGTCTGTGGTCACTTCAAAGCACTTTTCAAACACTGCTTTTGTGTAGAGTTTTTTGAAGTTAGAAATGGGCTGGAGCAGCGGAGTTGTGTTAGGAGGCAAGAACTTCACTTTTATAAAACTGAAGTTCTTAGACAAGAGGTCTAATAAGTTTGGAGGATGAGCAGGAGCATTGCCCATTAACAGAAGGCACTTGAGTGGCAATTTCTTTTCCTGGAGGTATTTATTCACACTGGGGCCAAACACTTCACAGACCCACTCTTTGAAAATTTGTCTTGTGACCCATGCCTTATGATTAGCTTTCCACAAGACATAACTTGTTCTTAAAGACATTGTTTTTCTTAAACACACTGGGATTTTCTGAATGATACACAAGTAAAGGCTTCACTTTAAAATCACCACTAGCATTAGCACAGAATAAAAGAGTAAGCCTGTCTTTCATAGGCTTGTGTCCTGGCAGTGCCTTTTCCTCCTGTGTGATGAAGGTCCTTTTTGGCATTTTCTTCCAAAACAAGCCTGTTTCGTCACAATTAAACACTTGTTCAGGTTTGAATTCTTCACTATGTACCCCTTAAACTCCTGTACAAACTTCTCAGCCGCCTGTTTGTCTGAACTGGCTGCCTCACCATGTCTTACAACATTGTGTATGCCACTACGCTTCTTAAATCTGTCAAACCAGCCTCTGCTGGGCTTAAATTCACTATCAGCACTGGTTCCAGAAGTTTTCTGTACCAGATCGGCATGCAACTTCCTTGCCTTTTCGCAAATAATCGTCTCTGAAACACTATCACCTGCAATCTCTTTATCCTTGATCCACACCAGCAACAACAACTCAACCTCTTCAACTATTTGTGGTCTTTTTTTGGTTAGCATATTAACACCTTTCGCAACATCAGCTTCCTTGATTTGTTCTTTCTTTGCCAGGATAGAACCGATGGTCGACTTGTTTTTCCCATACAGCCTGGCAAGCTCAACAAGTCTCACACCACTCTCATACTTCTGTATTATTTCCTTCTTCGCATCTATGGTGTTTCTCACTTTCTTTACCACAGGAGTACCACTAGCAAGTTTCTTTTGGCCCATGGCAGCTTATTTCACGGTCTCACAAGCACTAAACACAACGAAATAATCGTAAAATGTGTGAATGAGACCGCAGGTTAGTGTTCACTCAAGCATAAACAAAGCTAGACTGCTCACGGCGCCTGCATGGGGACGCGGACAGAGTGGGCCGGCAGACAGGTCCTGTACCTGTCGGTCCGAAATTAGGGGCGCGTTCGATAATTGGGACACAGTTTGTCCGAAAAAATGGTCTTATTTTCGAAACGTTCGATTTTTGAGGTTCCACTGTATTTCAATCCCTTCTGGGATCCCAGAAGAGGGATCAAAATATACAGATCAATTACTCTTCTGACTTTGTCTCCACATAAATTATTACTGAGCATAAACTATGTATGATAATTGTGCATGTATATACCTGTATCTAAATGAACTTATTAGCTGGGATTAAGTGGTTGGGATGATTATACATTTCTGTTAAGAAAAAGGACACAAGCACACGAGCTGTAACGGCTTTACCAAGCCATTACGGCTTGATAAAGCTCCTGGAGAGCGAAATGTTGCCACAGTAAAATGTAACATTAGTTGCATTTGTATCCTTTTACTTAACATATTGTCAGTAATTCTAACAATATTACTACATTGGAACCTCGTTTTTTGGCCACTTTGTTTATCGGCTGATTCATATTTAGGCCATTTTTTCAGTGGAAATTTTGCTCTGTATTTCGGCCGTTGCCTCGTATATTGGCCATATTAGATGCGTTAGCCCGCCTCTCCCGCCAGGACGCTGGGCTTTGGTAAGTCAGTTTCCCTTTGTCTGTCGGCGAGTGAGCATACACTCCATGCATTCGTCCAAACATTTCCTTAAAATCCATTGTTTTTGGAGTTTTTTTTATTAAGTGTGACTGTGAAATAAGTCACAATGGGCCCCAAGAAAGTTCCTAGTAAAGTTCCTTTGGTAAAGAAAGTGAGAAGCATGATGGAATTTAACTCTTAGGGTTGGTGCCATATTAGTAAGGATTTCATGCCAGGGTTCGTGCCATACTAGTACGCATAAATTCTAGCACCTTCAGATCTAGCGAGAGAAAGCTGGTAGGCCTACATATGAAAGACTGGGTCTATGTGGTCAGTGTGCACAGTATAAAAGAAATCCTGCAGCACACAGTGCATAATGAGAAAAAAAACTTTTTTTTGCTTTAAAACAGCATCTTTGCAGTGTATTTTCGTATGCTATTTATGGTTGTATTCTAGTTTTCCTGGTCTCATTTTATAGAATGGAAGACATACTACAGAAATTGAGATGATTTTGATTGGTTTCACAATGAAAAGTACCTCGAAATTGAGCTCAAAGTAGCAGAAATGTTCGATTTTTGCCAAAATTCAAATGTAAACAAATTATGCCATGTGTCCAATACACATACACAGTACACACATGCGCTGACATTATTTATACCATTTCTACACTAATGCAGTAGTCTGCATAACAGTAAATCTATTTTTTTTTTGTGAGAATAAAAATTCGAAGTGGAAAGCAAAAGAAATGTAAGAGAGGCCTGGGGACGTGACTAATGAACAGAAAAAATATGTTATTTTAGTGCCAGGAATATGTGTCTTGTTTATTCTGGACCCTATTTGGAAATTGGCATCTTGTGAAATTTGTGTGGAATTGGCAAAATTGCCAATTTCTGACCACTTTATTGGATAGTTGAAATCTGTAAATGGGTGGTTTCTTGTACTCATTCGATAGAAAAAAATGGAGTTCTAGTGAAATAGTTATGATTTTTGTCGACTGGTACATTGGAATGGGCTGAAAATAGGGCTCAAAGTGGGCGAAATCGCTGTTGCGTAAACATCGCTGAGACCACTAATTTTGTGAGAGCATAATTCCCTAAGTTTTCCATCGAATTTCATACTTTTGGTGTCATTATGATTGGGAAAAGATTCTATCATTTCATAATAAAAAAAAATTTTTTTTCTTTCCAAAAATTTCCGACCCTGAGAACAAGTTTAGGAGAGGGCCTGTCGACCCTAAAAGGGTTAAGAAGGAAGTTCCTGAAAAATATGAGAGTGGTGTACGGGTTCTGGAACTTGCTAGGATGTATGGCAAAAACAAATCAATGATCACTTCTAGCCTGGCAAAGAATGAACAAGTCAAAGAAGCTGATTTGGCAAAAGGGGTAAACCTGTTAACAAAAAAGAGATCACAAACAAATGAAGATATGGAGAAGTTGTTGTGGATCAGCAGGTCATTTCTAACTTCCAAAACCTCTACACAAAAGCAGTGTTTCAAAGTGCTTTGAACTGATCTCAGATGCAGAATTGACTCTGAGTTCTGGAGGAATCACTTCAGTATCCTCCATTGCATAAGCCTTATAGGTAAGGCTTGGCAGGGAGTGACTTCCAGGACCTTGAACTCTTCTTTGAGACAATTGTGGCCAGACTGTGTCCTCGAGAAGGATTTAGAAGGGTTTGAGGCTGACCCTGACCCTGTCAACCCTCTGCCTGTTGTGGAATCTATTGTGGCATTGGGGAAGTCCATGGGGGTGGATATGAGTGGCGAGGATGCAGGAGAGTTGGTGGAGGACCACAGGGAAGAGCTAACCACTGAAGAGCTGCAACACCTTCAACTGAAACAGCAACAGACCACAGCTGAGGAACTTGCTTCAACAGAGGAGGAGGAGGAGGAAGAGAGAGGGAAGGATTTGCCTTCTTCAGTGATTAAGGACATGTGTGCAAAGTGGAATGAGTTGTAAACTTTTGTGGAGAAATATCACCCTGACCAAGCTGAAACAAGCCATATCTGCAACATATTCATTGACAAAAGCTTGTCCCATTTTAGGGAAATCTTAGAGACACCAGATTAAAGCACTCTGGACAGTTATTTTGTGCAACAGGGGTCCAGTGACTCCCAGGCTGGTCCTAATGGCATTAACCCTTTCAGGGTTTCGGCCGTACTAGTACGGCTTACGCACCAGGGTTTTTGACGTACTAGTACGCCTAAATTCTAGCGCCCTCAAATCTAGTGAGAGAAAGCTGGTAGGCCTACATATGAAAGAATGGATCTATGTGGTCAGTGTGCGCAGTATAGAAAAAATCCTGCAGCACACAGTGCGTAATGAGAGAAAAAAAACTTAGACCATGTTTTTGGATTAAAACAGTGACTTTGCACTGTATTTTCATAAGGTATTTATTGTTGTATTCTTGTTTTCCTGGTCTCATTTTATAGAATGGAAGACATATTATAGAAATTGAGATGATTTTGACTGGTTTTACAAAGAAAACTACCTTGAAATTGCACTCAAATTAGCTTAGAAATGTTCGATTTTTACCAAAGTTCAAAAGTAAACAAATCATGCTAAGTGTCCAATACACGTCAACTGGTGAGTCTAATAATCTTTCACAAGTGTGCTGATAATATTTATACCATTTCTACACCAATGCAGTAATCTGCATAGCAGTAAATCTTCTATTTTTTTGTGAGAATAAAAATTCAAAGCGGAAAGCAAAAGAATGTAAGAGAGGCATGGGGACATGACTAATGAAAAGAGGAAATGTTATTTTAGTGCCAGGAATGTCTTTCTTGTTTATTCTGGACCCTATTCGGAAAATGGCATTTTTTGAAATTTGTGTGAAATTGGCAAAATTGCTAAATTCTGACCACTGTATTGGATAGTTGAAATCGGTAAATGGGTGGTTTCTTGTACTTATTCGATAGAAAAAATGGAGTTCTAGCAAAATAGTTATAATTTTTGTCGACAAGTACACTGGAATTGGCCGAAAATAGGGCTCAAAGTGGGCAAAATCACTGATGTGTAAAAATCGTCGAGACCACTATGCAAGGGCATAATTCCGTAAGTTTTCCATCAAATTTCATACTTTTGGTGTCATTATGATTGGGAAAAGATTCTCTATCTTTTTATAAGAAAAAATATTTTTTTTTTTTTTAAATTTGGCTGACCCTGAGAACAAGTCTCTGAGAGGACCTGTCGACCCTGAAAGGGTTAAAAGACAAAGAAGGGAAGTAACCCCAGAGAGGGACTTGTTACCTAAAGTCCTTATGAAGGGGGATTCCCCTTCCAAACAATAACCCCAACTCCCTCTCTTCTCCTCCCTATCTTCCATAAGTCAACAAGAGTCTTCAATAAAGATATGTAATAATGATTTAATTTTTCATGTATATTTAATTTATTTAGTTGTCATTGTTTTGTGTTTGTAAAACTATACATAATCTTTAAAAAATGTATTTTTTGTTAATAATTTGGGTGTCTGGAACGGATTAATTGTATTTACATTAATTCTTATGGGAAATATTGCTTCAAATTTAGGCCGACCTTCTGGAATGGATTACGGCTGAAAAATGAGGTTCCACTGTATATATATTTCTGTTTCCAGGTTGTGAGATGATGATATGGCCTTTCAGATGATTCCCCCAAGGTTGTCATCGTCTCCGCCTCCCTTGGATTCACTTCCCACTGTGACTTGTCCAGAAGAGGAGGATGATGAAGAATTTGGGAACTTCTCAACTCATAATACTTCATTTGATATCACAGGTTAAGGATTAAAGGATTGAGAATTTTCTTTCTTTTCATAGTTTACAATGTGTAATTAGAGTTTTTGTTTGCTAAGTACAAAGAAAGCCACTATCTTGCCAGGGCATTTCGGGCAGACTAAACTTAATGCTTAACAGACTACTTAATACTAGGCATATATGTATATCATAGTTGGTTCGAATTGAACATTGTTTATTATATTTCAACAGAGGTAGTAGTGGTTAGTAAATACTGTGTTCTAAAAATTTTAGCATTCATTGATGCCCTTATGAATATATATTACAGTACTGATATTGCTATTTACAGAACAGTATAAAGTTTACAAATGCACGAGCATCATTATTTCATTTCTTTTGTACATGATTATCTTTTACAAATTTGTGAAAACCTCATTTTATTTTTGAAATATGGACATTTATTTTGTGATATTGCTTCATGTAGAAGCTAACTTCCAAATTTGAAGTTTATTATTTATTATATTCTAGGGAAAATGCACTTGACAAATGTTAATATTTTTTTTTTCATCAAACTGGTCATATCTCACCGAGGCAGGGTGACCTAAAAAGAAAAATGAAAGTTTCTCTTTTTAACTTTAATAATGTATACAGGAGAAGGGGTTACTAGCCCCTTGCTTCCAGTATTTTAGTCTTCTATTATGACACGCATGGCTTATGAAGGAAGAATTCTGTCCCACTGCCCCATGGAGATAAGAGGAAATAAACATGAACAAGAACTAGTAAGAAAGAAGAAAATCCAGAGGGGTGTGTATATATATACTTGTACGTATATGTGTAGTGTGACCTAAGTGTAAGCAGTGTAGCTCGATCGCTAGCGCACTCAGTTCACACACTGAGGTCCAGAGTTCAAATCTCCTCTGGTATGGTGGGAAAACATTAGGGATGTGTTTCCATAAGACACCTGCTGTCCCTGTTCACCCATCAGTATAAAATGGGTACCTGGGTGTTACTTGACTGGTGTGGGTCACATCATGGGACAAAACTGACCTAATTTGCTCGAAATGCTCAGCATAACAAGTGGCTTTCTATATACTGTAGTAGTATGTCATTGATGTCAACTAGGCCTGTGTACCTTGTACATGTACTTGTAGAAATAAGATTTTTTTTTTCTTCAACAAACCAGCCATATCCCACCAAGGCAGGGTGGCCCAAAAAGAAAAGCGAAAGTTTTTCATTTTTAAATTTAGTAATTTGTACAGGAGAAGGGGTTACTAGCCCCTTGCTCCCAGCATTTTAGTCGCCTCTTACAACACGCATGGCTTACGGAGGAAGAAAGAAATAAAGATGTGTATTATTATTATAGCAAAACGTACCTGAAACCTTGCATGTTTGAGACAAGGTGTCCTGTAGCTCAATCACTAGTGCACTCAGCTCACACACTGAGGTCTGGGGTTCAGTTTCCCAGTACGGCAGGAAATGTTAGGACGTCTTTCCTTAGGGCACCTGCTGTCCTTAGTAAAATGGATACCCGGGTGTTAGTCGACTGGTGTGGGTCACGTCCTGGGACAAAACTTGACGTAATTTGCCCAAGTTGCTCTGAATAACAAGGGGTTTTCTATATAGTAGTATGTCATTGATGTCAGCTAGGCCTGTATACCTTGTACATGTATGTACTAGTAGAAATAAAGATCATCATCTTTCAACAAACCGGCCGTATCCCACCAAGGCGGAGTGGCCCAAAAAGAAAAATGAAAGTTTTTCCTTTTAAATTTAGTAATATATATGTACAGGAGAAGGGCTTACTAGCCCCTTGCTCCTGGCATTTTAGTATCCTGTTACGACACGCATGGCTTATGAAGGAAGAATTCTATTCCACTTCCCCATGGAGATAAGAGAAAATAAACAAGAACAAGAACTAGTAGGTTGGTAGACAGCAACCATTCGGGCAGGTACTACTGACCAGATGAGTGTAAAAAGGAAGCCTGTATTTGCTTTACATGATGGTAGGATTGCTGGTGTCTTTTTTCTGTCTCATAAACATGCAAGATTTCAGGTATGTCTTGCTACTTACACTTAGGTCACACTACACATACATGTACACATTTATTTATACACACTCATCTGAGTTTTCTTTGATTTTATCTTAATAGTTCTTGTTCTTATTGCTTTTCCTTTCATATCCATGGGGAAGTGGAATAAGAATCTTTCCTCCATAAGCCATGCGTGTTGTAAAAGTCAACTAAAAGGCTGGGAACAATGGGCTAGTAACCACTTTTCCTGTATAGCCTACTAAAAAGAAAAAGAAGAAAGCCGTCAAAGTGGGATGTTTGGATGTGCGTGAATGTTGTGCAAATGATAAGAAAGATGGTTTTGGATGTTATGAGTGAGAAGAAGTTGGATGACCTGGCTTGAAGTGAAACAAAACTGAAGGGGGTGGGAGAGTTTCAGTGGGGAGAAATAAATGGGATTAGGTCAGGGGTTTCAAATAGTTAGAGCAAAAAGAGGAGTAGTAATAATGTTGAAGGGTAAGTTATTGCAAGAAAAGAGGGAATATAAATGTATAAATTCAAGGATTATGTGGAGTAAAATAAGGGTTGGATGTGAAAAGCAGGTTATAGTAAGTGTTTATGCACCTGGAGAAGAGAGAAGTGTAGAGGAAAAAAGAGAGATTTTGGGATATGTTGAGTGAGTGCATGGGGAGTTTCGAGCCAAGTGAGAGTACTTGTGGTTGGGGATCTCAGTGCTAAAGTGGGTAAAAATGTTGTGGAGGAAGTAGTAGGTAAATTTGGGGTGCCAGGGGTAAATGAAAATGGGGGGCCTTTAATTGAACTATGTGTAGAAAGAGGTTTGGTAATAAGTGATACATATTTTATGAAAAAGAGGATAAATAAGTATACAGGATATGATATAGCACATAATGAAAGTAGTTTGCTAGATTATGTTTTGGTGGATAAAAAGTTGATGGGTAGGCTTCAGGATGAACATGTTTATAGAGAAGCAACTGATATATCGGGTCATTATTTAGTTGTAGCTACAGTTAGAGTAAGAAATAGATGGGACAAAAGGAAAATGGTAACAACAAGTAAGAGAGAGGTGACAGTGTATAAACTAAAGGAGGGGAAGTTAGGGTGCAGTATAAGCAACTATTGGCAGAAATGTGGGATAGTGCAGTGGGGGGGTTGAAGAGGGTTGTAATAGTTTTAAAAATGAAGTATTAGAATGTGGGGCAGAAATTGTGGCTATAGGAGGGTGGGTGCATGAGGAAAGAGGAGTGATTGGCGGGCTGATGAAGTAAAGGGTGTGATAAAAGAGAAAAAGGTAGCTTATGAGAGGTTTTTACAAAACAGAAGTGTTATAAGAAGAGCAGAGTATTATGGAGAGTAAAAGAGAGGTGAAGAGAGTGGTGAGAGTGCAAAAGGAGAGCAGATGATAGAGTGGGAGACACACTGTCAAGAAATTTTGATGAAAATAAGAAAAAATTTTGAAGTGAGATAAACAAGTTAAGGAAGCCTAGGGAACGAATGGATTTGTCAGTTAAAAACAGAGTAGGGGAGTTAGTAGATGGGGAGCTGGAGGTATTGGGTAGATGGTGGGAATATTTTGAGGAAATTTTAAATGTCGATGAAGAAAGGGAGGCAGTAATTTCATGCACTGGCCAGGGAGGTATAACATCTTTTAGGAGTGAAGAACAGCAGAATGTGAGTGTGGGGGAGGTGCGTGAGGCATTATGTAGAATGAAAGGGGGTAAAGCAGCAGGAACTGAGGGGATCATGACAGAAGTGTTAAAAGCAGAGAGGGATATAATGTTGTAGTGGTTGGTATTTTTGTTTAATAAATGTATGAAAGAGGGGAAGGTACCCAGGGATTGGCAGAGAGCATGTATAGTTTCTTTATATAAAGGGAAGGAGGACAAAAGAGATTATAAAAATTATAGAGGAATAAGTTCAGTTAGTATACCAGGAAAAGTGTACGGTAGGGTTATTATTGAAAGAATTAGAGGTAAGTCAGAGAGTAGGATTGCGGATGAGCAAGGAGGATGTGTAGATCAAGCGATTACATTGAAGCATATATGTGAACAGTATTTAGATAAAGGTAGGGAAGTTTTCATTGCATTTATGGATTTAGAAAAGGCATATGATAGAGTTGACAGGGGAGCAATGTGGCAGATGTTGCAAGTACAGTGGTCCCTCAATTATCGTCCTTAATCCGTTCCTGGAAGTGGGACTGTTATCGAAATAGACGATTTTCGAATCAATTTTCCCCATAAGAAATAATGTAAATCCAATTAATTCATTCCAGACACCCAGAAGTATCAAAAACAATTTTTTTTTACCTAAAAGATAGATTTACATACACAAAAGAATGAGCATTCAACATGACAGTTACCTTTATTGAAGGCTGTTGTTGATGAATGGAAGACAGGGAGGAGGAGAGAGGGAAGAGAGGTTATTGTTTGGAAGGGGAATCCCCATCCATAGGGACTCTAGGTTACTTCAGGGGTCACTTCCCTAGCATAAATATAGATTTATATGCAGAAAAAAATGCCAAATAAATGTAAAGCACTAATAAAATGTATAAATGAACATTGGTAATAGGGGTAGTTGATGAGTGGAACGGTCTGCCTAGTAGGGTGATCGAAGCTAAAACATTGGGTAGTTTCAAATTTAGGTTGGATAAATACATGAGTGAGAGGGGTTGGATTTGAGTCGGACTTGCACCTGAGCTTATTGTTAGGTTAGACACATATGCAACAGTTAGACAACTTTATTCCGAAACGTTTCGCCTACACAGTAGGCTTCTTCAGTCGAATACAGAAAGTAGGCAGGAACAGTAGAGATGTGAAGACGATGTAATCGGTCCATCACCCTTAAAGTTGTAGAATTTGAAGTTGTCAGTCCCTCAGCCTCAAATTCTACGACTTTAAGGGTGATGGACTGATTACATCGTCTTCACATCTCTACTGTTCCTGCCTACTTTCTGTATTCGACTGAAGAAGCCTACTGTGTAGGTGAAACGTTTCGGAATAAAGTTGTCTAACTGTTG